CAACATGATGCTAGGTAAGAACAATCAGGCAGCCAAAAAAAAGAGGCGAATCAGGTTGGCTTGGGCGGCATTCGGAAATCTAGCACGTATCCTCAAATAACATAAAATATAACAATCTTAAAACAAAAGGTCTATGATGCGTTTGCGGTACCGCTCATCAGCGGTTATGTAGCAGTAAAAAGACTCTATTTCTTACCAACAACACCTTTCTGGCCATGTCTAGAACTGAATTTGTCTCCAACTTCGGGCCTTCGTGTTTGCCGCAACAAAATTTTAATTAAAGTCGTATCTTGTTCGTTTGTGCTCACGAGTACTTTTTCCACGTAACTAGGCTCTATAATTCGGTAAGAAAGGGGAGTGTCTTTGTATTCAACACACGTGTTGGTGGCAGGGCTCGGTACAGCTGAGACGGATGGTACCGATTTGTTGACCAATGTCTACAAAAATATTCAAATTGAAGAAATTAGACGACAAACTTTAATACCACTTACCTGTTTATTTTCAACTAATTCTCCAGGACTTATAATACCATCTGCATCTAAACATTTATGTTTCCACATTGGATGACCGGTTTGTGCATCTATCAAGGGCCCTTGAATTCGGTCATAGGTTTGATTCGGATATCGTTTCATAATACACTTTGAATTTTTGTAAACCAAACACCTTCCAAAACCGCGATCGATCGACGCCTAATTTCCAACACAATTTCAATATTGGATATTTTTATCAACAAAAGTGTGTAAAATACCTTATTTAAAACTAAGGCATCTTCAATATCATATCCACTGTAACTCATGACAGCTATGACAGCATTCTGGCCAGCAGGAAGTTTGTCGAAGTTTGTTAACTCAATTGATTTGGTTTTACACATTGGAGCTTGCGGATACACCAAGTTATAAAGCAAAGTATCCATCCTGTTTCTTTGGTTGTAGCCAATAGTTCCTAAGTGAACCATTATCATATCAAATAATTTAGTGGTGTTAGTTTATCGTTTTGTACGAGCGCGACTTTTAAAACCAAGTAATCACTCTCACTCTCAACTCATTACGAAACGAACACAATTAATTTTACAAAAAATGGTAGCCCAAACTTACCCATTGCCTGTTTACCCATAGCACATTGATATGTGTTTCGTGGACTCTGATTATGATGCGGGTAAGGCACTAATCCGGCGCATACTCCTAATAGAGTAAACGTAGCTATTTCCAGATGTGTAGTTTTATTTGTTATGTCTTTCTCATAACAAGCTATAAAACTGTCGTTTTCTTCATTTACGTCAAGAAACTCAATTAGGCCTAAACACAAAAATTTGTAAATATTCCCTAAGATATAAACAATGAGAATAGTTCATTTAACTCCGCCACATAACATCTGGAAATTGGAGTATCCAAAGCAATTCAAAATAGGCGTGGTTCCCCTGATCTTTGAACTGACTTGTGAATGCGTACAACATTGAATAAAATTATTAGCTTCGTATTTTGTATTAACTTGTATATCATTTTACATAACTTATACAAGCTTTCGAATGTCTATTTTTTTACACTCAACTATCCCAGTAGTTTTTTAAATGAACATTGAACTACGTTAACATACCTATTGTTCAATAAGAAAGTTGAAAGTGCATATTGAAGAGCTAATATATTCGTGAGAAAAGGCGAAATAAAAAACATTTTCTAGAAATGTTCTCAAGTAAACCCTATTAACCACATAAAAAAATAATTTCAAATCGCTCTGTGAACTGTACGGGGTGGGCCACTAAGGGAGGTGTACGGCCGTACGTCACAAACCATAAGTCGATTTCAGATTTAAAAAATATTAGTAATAGTGGCCACGAGAAATTGATGAAAATTACTTTCAAGTTCACAAAATGGCCCCTAGAGGGCATAACTGCAAGAATACATTACGTATTTAAATACGGGATTTTAACCGTTTTAGATACGCTAAGGTTTGTTGAAATTACTTTCATTCTATTCGCGAGTTTAAAAGTGCAAACGCGCCCTGGTGGCTAAATTTATAATAACTACAAGTTAACTAGTAATTTGACACTTGTGTTGTTGACATTGGTGTTCAATCAACTTTTACTATATTTTAAAAAAATCGAAACAGATCGAAAAGCGTGTAAGTATTTACTTATGTTATAGATGTCATCAACTCCAATAAATAAACAAGTTTGACAAGTCTGAACTGTCACTCGACACCAAGTAATTTGACGTTTCGCAACGCCACCATCGGTAGTTGCTCACAAATTATCAAGATACCCCGATGTAAAATCTTCGCCCTTATGATTGCTTCTGTGCCCGCCAGAGGGCGTAATATCAAAGATCGTCAGACTTTGCCGCTTTTCTTCGTTTTTCTAAATTTTTCTAAAAAGAGAATGAAATAAAATTGTAAAATCCGCTTACCGACATTTTTTGCAACCGGACCGAACCATTTAACAATAACAATGATATTGACATACAATTAATGGTCCCGATAAGAACCGATTGTTATATTTAAAGCATTTAAAGTATTTCCGCTGATGAAATCGCTTGAAATTGCGATAAGGGTTATCTAAAAATCGTCGAACATTTACGGATAAATGACCCGGGCACCAAATTGTAAAAATATGTTTACCCTCGTTTGCAACGGTACATCCTCTAGAAACAATGGTAGCTGGTTTTGTAAAGTCTAAATAATGATTTCCATTTAACTTCTGTTCAAATATAATAGAATCAATAATTTGGCCCCCGAGTATTCCGCATCAGATATTGGTCCTAAATCGACCCTGATGCTCAACTTCCTGGATTCAGTAAGAGTTTGTACTGGACCAATAATGCATATTATGCAAATTAACTTCCCGATTACTATTAAAAGTAGCTTCATATATCCAGAGTTCACTCTTGAAGCAATGATTTTGCAAGCATTGAAAATAAACTGCTAACATCTCAAAAGCTTCCTGATTTTTAACAGGCATTTTAAAAGAAAGTATAAGAAAAACTTTGAATTTGATTGTCAAACACACTCATTTGCTATTACGAAAAACAATATGTAGTTAACGTAAAAACGGTATAAACTGTTTTTGCTATGAAACTTCGGTTGCAAAAAATATGTATATTGATATGCGGAGTTGACTATTTTGTGAAATTTTTTAATATTTTCCGCTAGCTAAAATATTATATTATATTTCATTCCGTTGAGAAAACTGAAGAAAAACGACAAATTTTGACGACCTTTACTACCGTGACCTCGGGGACAAAGAATCAATCATAAGGGTGAAAATTTTACACCTGCAGGTCAAGCAATTAAAGAGCTCTTTAATTAGAATTTAAATATTGAATTTGGTTAAGCCAATGCGGAGCTCTCAATAACTTTTTGAACCAATATTCGACCTTCCCCCACCACTTTATCTGACTAGTTAGGACAACGACACACCAACAAAAAATAGGCAAAACTTTCGCAATAATAGAATGAAAATACTTTCAACATACTTTTGGGCTATCAAAAACCGCTAAAAATCCGCATTTAAAATGTTTTGATGCAGTTCCGCCCTCTAGCGGCCCTTTGGCGAACGAAAGTAATTTCCAGTAATTTCTTCTGGTCACTTTACTCATATATTTTTTCCTGAAGTCGATACGACTTATAATTTGTCATTAATGGCGGAACACCTCTCTTAGTGGCCCATCCGTTAGACACCTACTGAACGTGCTAGAACGAGGATTACACAGTCTAATCAGTTCAAATAGTTAGCAGTTAAAAGATGCGGGATCAGTTTATTCCAAAGCTGTTGTCACACTCACCGTCATGCAAAAAATCTGCAAAACTTCGAATACCCTTCTCCAATTCGGTCATATGACTCTGATTTACCAAAGGTTGGCCTTTTTGTACTATGATATACGGGCGACACAATCGGCCACCATCCGAACTAATATAAATGCATTTATGAAGAAAATTAACGTAAATTGATGCGTAGCTTGATATTCTGCCTTCACGCCTCATCAGTCTGAAGATGCTTATCATATTCTGATAGTTTGTAGTTACTCCCAAAATATTACCTAGAAACATATTTAAGATATTTTCAGTCAATAAAATAATCAGTAAATACCAAAAAGCTAAGAATAATACAAATATTGAAAAAAGTTCCATTCGCTACTTAAAATATCATAGAGATGCACGGATAACAAAAAATAATTTGAATATAAATAATAAAACAATTCTAATATTTCCTTACCGTTTAAAAATACTATGTACGCTGAAGGAGAATGAATGGCTTTACTCGCCACTATACTAATATCTTGCAATCCAGCATTTTTCACTAATCTTTTAATCGGATATTCATTAATATCAGTAGTGATGTGCGTCATTAGAGCTAAGTTTTTAACTAATCCGCAAGACTGTAATTAAAATAGTAAAATCTTACTCAGAGTCAAACAATTTTCGACATACCTCTCCTTCTGGAGTGTCACTTGGACACAACATTCCCCATTGACTTGGTTGCAAGCTTCGAGGTCCAGACACTTTTCTAGTAGATTCAAATTGCGAATTAACTCTAGTCATCATTCCTAAAGCAGCTATGTAACTGAGTCTAGACAAAACCTGTGTTACGCCTAAACGTTCCATTCTAAATCGTTTAATAGTCCAATTTCCCTAAAAAAGTATCCAATTAATATTTGTGGGAGCAGAAGTATCAAAGGTGTACCGTTGAAATAGCAAAGACTAAGCAACTGGTAATCAATTCAGACCGCATATATTTAATAACATCAAACTGGGAAGCTCGAATTTTTGGTATAGTTTTATCTGCAATTGATTTAAGGTCGAAATTAAATCTTTTAAAAACGTCTTCAAACATCAAAGATATTAAAGATCCGGCCAATTCCATTCGTTTATTGCCATAATAATCTCTATCATCTAGAAATTGTTTATCCGATTGTGCTTGAATCACTCGCTTTATCTACGGGAAAAAAATAACACAACATTGATAAATATTTTGACTTAAATGTATAATAGGCCTTACCATCAATCCTAGATAAACAGCTTTAGATTTAAAATTATACTCTTCAACCGGAACATGAGCCAGAATTGTTGTCGCTAGAGCATCACGAGCATCATCTGCAGGAGTTCTGACGCTTGATGCAGAAGTTACATATCTACGAACCATTCAGAGATGGATTAATTGAAACTTTGCAATCTCAAACTGATATATAATTTTATCTGACAGAAGAAGTGTTCAAATATCGAAACAAAAACAAGCATATACAGGGTGTCCCACCGGTAACCGCCGCGACCGATATCTGGCAAACTATAATTAGAAGTTATTTGAAAATTGGACAGCGTGTCGAAGTCATTGAGGGCAGCCTATGTAAAATATTTTCATGATGGTCACACTTATATCTCCTTCCTCCACAAATATCTCCTAATTAAAGTTTGCCAGATATTGGTAGCGGTGGTCTGCGGTGAGACACCCTGTATAAGTCACTATAAACTACTAGAAAACTGTAAAATACCGCTTTGCAACCATTTTTGTTCCTAAATAATTCCAAGCTGCTTCTTGAGTGTAAATCTGTAACTTATGGCATTCTTCCAAAGTTGGTGTCAGCTGGTGAATGTCTGGAATACCAATTACCTCACATATTTCCAAATCGGAGAGAAAATCCATGGCTTTAAATATTATACTGACTGGAATAGGCTGAAAAAAGTGACAACGTTAGCATATGAATCGACAACACAAATAATACTTACATCTGTAAACATGTTATGACCTAAAAAGTACTTATTTCCTTTCACGAAAACGATTGTTCGAGACTTTCTGTCATGAGTTGAGCTTGTAACTTGGCACTGGGCACCCCACTTGCCCTCCTCAACCAACATTCTGTTTTTAGACAGTTGTTCCTGAATTAAAATAACTTTCTCTTGGCCCTTGACCACAAAATAACCTCCAGGATCTAACGGACACTCATGCATTTTTGCTAATTCAAATTCCGACTTGTTACTCAGTACACAATTAGAGGATTTCAACATTATGGGCATTCTTAAAATGAAACACAATGTTTTAAATTAGTATTTCTTGCAAATTAACTCAACAAACAATATATTTTAGCTCCTAAAAAAATTAACTACATCGTATCAAGTAGAGTAGTCAGGTATTGCAAAATAAAATCAAACAATCCGAGATTAAATACAGAGTTCCATATTTATGCAGTACATTGTAAATTTCACGTTTAGTTGAAATTATAGCCCTAATAGTGCTATTCCGCCCTGCCCGGTATATTGTAACTGTACAATTAGAAAACGCTGAATACAGGAGTAAATAAAACAAAAATGTGAGTCACCTCAATTAATAAAACTAAAAGCTAAAAAAACTCAACATACAAGGTAATTAAATTTAAAATAAAGAAATGAAGGAGAGAAAAATTTGAATAAAAATAAATCTACAAAAGGTAATTGTAGTAACACATTGAACTAATTATCGGTTTATTAATTTATTCCTGATTGAAGACCATTCAAGTTCTACGCCTAGGCGTCTTACTAATAGATTTTGCATTTTGGGCATTGTCGGATACTACAGCTAGCCAATATAAGCAACAGAAAAGAGCGAATTTTTTTATTTAAAAATTAACCTCATGTTCCGTTACTGTGTTAAGTTAAGCTTATTGCAGTTAAATGTCTCCGTTGCTATCAGTGTATTACTAACAAAGAAATGAAAAGAAGTTATGTGGTGCGAGGACGTTGGTAACGCCCAAATAGACCTAGTGTTTTACATAATCAAAGTGTGATCTGATTTTGTTTTAAAGTCTTATTGAATGGTCAAAGTACACCTTGATCTAGTACCAACCGAATATTTACCTGCCAATCAAGAGTCCTGTTTTAGCCACCCTCTGAGTGCCTCTTGAATACTCGATATCAACAGTTATTGGCGCTGAATAGGTCATATCCCTTAATCGACATTCATGTGGTGTTGTAGGTTTACTGATATTGAAACCTTCATCTACATCGGGACTTCCAACGTAAACATTGGTATATCTATATATACGAGTAAAATTTACATATGAAAAAACTATTTGCATTAATTAGTTTACTCACTTGATATAAAATAAAGGATCTGCGTCGCAAGTTACATAGTTGTTTGCTTCTACAATTTTTTTAATGTCGACATTGATAAAATAATTAAATGAATCAATATGTTGCTTTACCAGTCCTTTAATTTTAAGGAACGCTGGCACCAATTTCCACTTCTCCTAGAAAATGTAGTAATTTAGATTAAAAAATCAAAATATTCAATAAAAAGCTAGATTATCCTTATATGTACATATAATATTTAAATTATACATGCTTTATTTTACAATATTCGCTGTTAGAGTTATACACTTGGAATAAATTTTCCCCTGAAAGTTTCTTTAAAAATATTCTTTAGTTGGAACAATTTTGCACTTGATGCAGTACATGCAACAAATATGTTTGCAGCAGGACTTTATTCATTAATCTTGTAAAAATACAACGAACTACTTTGCGGAAGTTCTTCTTTCTTCTCTTGCTTAATTACAAACATATTGTGTTTGCAAGAGCACAGATAAATAAATAAGTGTTTATACTTACATCATCACTAACAGATTGAAATACATATAGTACACCTACTACAGGAACTTTAAGGGTTTTAAAAAAAATAGCAATCTTTCGAAATACTTTTTATGTGAACAACGTGTATGCGCTGTATGCTTTATGTTCTTAGACCGACATACCGTTTTAAATATTTTAAGGAATAGTTTCCAAGCAAGTGTTCAAAAACTTCTTCGGGTTGTACGTGAATTTATGAAACGTAATACCCGCCAACAACTTCATATATCACAGCAATCACCGGGCATTAACCCATTAGAACATCTATGGGAAGAGTTAATGCGTCCGGTAAGAAAACAATAAGTTAGAAATAAGAAAGAGCTCAAAATAGGATAAGATAAGATTCCGCCAGAAGTTACAAGAAAACTTGTATTAAGTATTACGAGAAGGCTTGCTGCCATTATTGAAGAATGACTGATGTATGGAGTTATTTTTACTGACTGTAAACATAGGGAATTCAGATGATGCTATAGAAGAGGGACCAGAAGTTATGATAGATGAAATCGAGAGCTCGATAGAAAACATGTAACCTCAATACACCCCGGAATAGACAGACCGACCTAATTGATTAGAATAATGGAAGATCACTGGACATATCAAGCGTGGTAACTGAGATTAAAGCCCGTGTTCCATGCATCCGTTTATACGATGATACGACTTAACACATCTTTTAAACTTAAATTTAAAACACTTACCTCAATTTCTTTCACCGGCTGCTTGTACGTGCACGGTTCTCCAAATAGCTCTTGATTGAGAGTATCCATTTCTGCCCTTTCTTCGCTTTAAGCTAGACAAAATTTAGATCTATTTAGAAGACACGACTGGCGAAAAACTCAAATTTTTTACTGTTTGACATTAAGGTTTGACGAAATTTTCCTCTTCTTTAGAAGATTTTAACCTTAGAGGCTCTTTCTTGCAGTAATGCCCTACTAGGAAATTTTTCCCTATTTCTTGGAATTTTTCTCGGACAAGAGAAAAAAGGGATTTGCTCAGGGAAATCAATGGATTTTTAAAATCTGAGATGCAAAAATCAATATACCTGCAGTCAGTGTGATTTGCAACTGCCCCATCTACTCATAAACTTTGTCTTTTTGTCCTTGTTTTTGTCTCTTTGAATTTAAAAGAATAAATAAGAAGAATACAAATTGAAGCAAAATTATGAGTTTCATTTTTTTACATTTTTTAAACTTCGTAATATTCCGGTTCCAATAACCTTTTTTGTTTTACTTATCATTTTTTATTAAAAATATTCAGTTATAATTTTTTCTGAAAATCTAGCCAAAACTAAGGATTTTCTAAGTGACCATGTGAGAATTTTAATTTTACCGATCTGGCACTGCTTCCTTGTCTATGGTTTCAGACTCTTGAGAGTCGCGCCTACGCAACGGCCTTACACAATTTATCCATATGCAGTGGGCAATCTGTTATACAATATCGTGTGTAGGTGAAAGCGATGAAAGCTCTTCCGAGTTTTACAAATCTCCGGGAAGTTTGGGAATCTAAACTTAAAAAACCATAGATTTTTAGTTTAGGACCAAGGGAAAGTGACTACATTTACGTTGTGACAAAGCGGGACAAATGGGATGAAATGTGAATTACAATTTAGTTATATATTTTTTATTGTATATGTTCATATACTTGTATAAAAATGTATTTGTTATTAACTATTGGTAACTATGAAAACAGTTGTAAAAAGTTATAATTTGGACATCACAATTTTTCATTAAATTTAATTTTTTATTTAAAAAAAGTATTATTTTCTTTCACGGTCATATTCTTGATCCGAAGTAATACTCTGCACATTAGAAACTTTCATTAAAATGTCGTGAAATATTTCACATACATTTGAGATAAAATGGTCAAATTATATTTTACACTTGATAAAGATTTTAGTTTTAATTTTTAATGTTAAAATGTTAATATATTTTTAAAGTACATTTAAAATAAGAAATGCATAATATTTTCTAAAAGGCGGGATTTCTTTAAAAATCGGCGAAACGCGGTACAGTCCACCAAAAACCGGGACTGTTCCGCCAAATTCGGGACGTGTGTTCACTTTAGATCAAAGATAAAATCGAATGACTGAGAATAAGCAGTTTTAAGCTAACAGCTGGGTTCATTGCATTAGTTCACAACTATCCTTAAACATTATTCCTTAAATGTGTTAAATTTTATAACATTAGTGTATTGCAGAGCACAGAACACCTCTGGAACTGAAGAGCTAATCTCAAACGCCTGCATCTACACATGTTACTGTATAACCGATTGCCTACTACTATGGATCAGTTGTGTAAGGCCGCTCCGTACACGCAAATGTGAATAATGGCAACTGTGTTGGTAACTGTTTTGTTTTGATGTTTTGATTCTTTTTTGGAATGAATATCGGTTAGGTTTGAAGTCGGTTAAACATTTTTTTCTAGCCATTTTTTGTTTAAGCTTTATATTGCCTTGTCACTGGTTCAAGATTTGTGAAAATGAACGGACAACCAACAATTTTGAGCCACGAGCGAATTGAACTCGATCAGCTTGAAGTGCAACTTTATGGGACTAGTTCGACACAAATCTATCTAATGTGTAAGTTACTACACGTTAAAAGTTGTTATCCAAGTATAATCAGTATTAGTATAGTTAATGTATGATTGACTAATGAATTCTATACCTTCGATTCATTCGGTCATATTCACGAATTTGCCGTAGCCTTAAGCGAGTTCTTAGTGTCGATTCTAATGCAAAGACAAATTCACCGGAAATTTGATGTGCATGGGCTTGAAAGCATTACAGTAATTTATGGATAATCCGAACAAAAAGGTTGTAGAGCCTGTTCAGTTTTCGAAAACTCCCAGATTGGGAGTTTAACAGAGAGGTCCGCCAAGTGTTTGTAGGTCTCCGCCAGGCATACGATAGTATCGCCAGGGAAAGTATCTGGCAAGCGTTGGGAGGCATAGGGGTACCAGTAGTAGTAATCTGTGGCAACCTCGAAGATTGCATATAATTCCACCCGAAACACTGTCGTTTATCTTCCCAGCGAAAAAGACGCTCCCCTGTTGGTGTCTTGCCGGCACACGCCTGTCTCAGACAATACTGTATTGGCCTCCCGTGAACCGTCGCTGTACCAACAATGCACCCCCTTTCTGGCATCCACTGTCCTAGGGTTCCAAGTTTCTTTTGTTGGGATTTCCACCTTAAATTTCCTTTCAAACCTATGCCTGCTAAGTCAGGTGGGACCATCTTTGGTCTCTATTTTTGCCCCTGTCCCTGACGTGGGTAGTTGTCATGCGTTATGGAGCTGCATTATCCACAGGGCTAGCTCAGGGAGGACGAGGAGGATAATAATGAATGTTATGCTCGGTGTCGTCCCCATTGCGCCGGTTAGACAGACCAGTATTTACCGATCCACCCGTTTCCGGGGTATGCACGCCTTCACCGCCGGCCAACAGACCACGGAATCATAACAGATCTTCGGTCTTATAACGGCAGTGTATAGCCATTTCATAACGTGTTATACGTATCTTCCGAAACCACACATGTTCGTGATATTCAAGTTCTCTAAGTTTTGGTTACAAAAAATTGCGTCATCATTACGGTAACCGTCACGCCTTCCTCTTCAAAGAAATAGGGTCTCCAAACTCAAAAAGTCCCAACAGCACACAGTGGCCTTTGATGGACCTGCTGCAGATTTTCTGGTGCCCAGCACCGAAAATTCTACTTATTCACACAGCTAGACAAATGAGCTTTGCCACTAGTTTTAAAAGGGCATTTAGTGGGACGTTTTGAAGAACTTTGTTCTTGAACACTTAGTTCTTTCACAATCATCATTTGGATGGGTGGAACTTCAGATCGCTGTGTAAAATTATTCTCAGAGGACGATCTGACAAACGCAAAGCACAAGCATGCTTAGCAGCTGAACGAGTAGGAGATCGTTCAACTGCTTCTCTTAAGCCGGTATCCCATGCATCCGTTTATACGATGGTACGATGATACAAAAGTGTTTCTATTGGTTGGAGATCTGTCAGCTTGTACGACGGCGGACGAATTAACAGATCTCCAACCAATAGAAACACTTTCGAATCATCGTACCATCGTATAAACGGATGCATGGGACACGGGCTTTACAGCTGCAACATTTTCAGGCGTGGGAGCATTTGTGAGTCTATGAGCTTTAAAATTTGATACACAACGCACACCAGTATTGTTTTGCGATCTGGAGCCGGAACTACGAAGCGCGAAGTGAGTAGGCTAAGTAATTTGCGTCGTTATCACAGATTTGGTACTTTTCGTACGTTAAATTTCATAGACCAAATTATATAGAATATAAAATATTTTATTTCGTTGTACATCGTATTCCTTATTCCCTTTTTCAGTACGCGAGGCATAACGAAGAATTTCTTCTTTTTCTTGATGTCGAATATTTATGACTTGCCGGCATTAGGACGTCAAGTGGACAGCGAGAGACGTGAATGAACATCCAGACTCCAGCTCACGTAAAATTTCAGTCCTTTGTTCAAGTGTTAATCTAAGATTATTTCGTTTAGAAGCTATTGTTTAAATTGTATATAGCAGTCAGCTGACTCACAAAACAACTTAACGATGCGAGAGCTACAACCAACTGGGAAAGTGAGCGTATGTTCACAGATGTTCGGATAACAAAATTTATTTGTTCAGATTATGGATATCATTTTACACAATCGGGCGTTCGAACTATTCATACATTACTGTAATGCATTATGAGGTGGATCATAGCGTCATAAAATAACCATTAGTGTGACAACAATCCAGCAACTACAACCTGTATCGCTTTATTCGTATTTGTTCCATAACGACCAATTTTTTGAACTTGACCGTTATGAAGCGAAGCAAGCCGTTTGTGAGTTAACGTCTTTCTTTGATATTTATTTTTGCAGTTAGAGAAATGGTTGATAAGGAGATTAAATTGGCTATGCTCAAAATTACAAACTATTTTGAAGAAAACGCAATGCACAATCAGGATCTTATTACCAAGGTTCTTGGAGAAAAGTATCTAGAATTTTACACTCAAGCTGAACCTATTTTGCAAAATTTCTATGTAAGTTTAATTTTTGGCGCGTTGTAATTGTATCTGTCTAATTCGAATGTTATTGGGGCAACTAGCAAGAGATACAAGACATTTTGAAACTGCCGGATAATGTGTCATTATTCGATAAATGTGTAACAGCTGAAAAAACATTTGATAAATCAGAAGTAAGCATCCTTGAGAAAGAAATTGCCGATCTAGAGAAGAGGTGCATTATTGTAAGTACAGCTAATATTGGTTTGAATCACATGTGGTAAATGTTCAAAGCGTGCATGCTGCTTCAATTTCTGTTCTAGTTTATCAGAATCTGCGATTCAAAGTTAAAAATATTACTTTATAGATAGGAAAGATTCTCACTCATTCTTCTATTTACAAGAAAAATCACTAAGAAAAGTTGTTAGTAAAGAGAATGATTATGTATAATGTGCTCATATTGTTCGCCCTAGAACGCAGAGGCATGAGACGACACAACTTAGCACCCTTACACGTGCATTGTGCGCGAGCGCGAAATTTAGCCAGAGCTTTGCTGACTGTCGAGATAGGCGCGCATTTCAAACTATTTAGACGATAAAATGCATTATCTGGGATTAAAAACCACCCTCTCTAAAAAACGTTTTAACTGTCGCCAGACGGTCTGCCATCAAATTGACTGACTGATAATTTATTTATATTTGTCGTTGCTGTATTTTTATCAATTATTTTTTGCTTTCCATAAACCATATAGGCTCTAATAAGCATAACTGTAGTATAGTGAGCACATTTATAAGAGAATAGTATACATAATAGCCGTATTTATTTTTTATAAGTTTGTGCATGTTGCATGGTGTTCTCCAGAGTCATTATTAAGCACTTGCAATTTCATTGTGTTTTAGTTCAATTAATTAAATATTTAGGTTGGTTTGGTATTTATACAAGTGTACGTACATTTTAATAGCCCAAAATGAAAGGCAAATTGTTTGTGAGTACATATTGTAATAAACATTTTTTCACTCAGTTCAAATACCAGGCATGTGCAAGAAATACATAAAATAGGTGGCCCTGTTTTTTGCTTCGTTTGTCGCTTTTGTTGTTTTACCTTAAAGAACACTTTATATTAAGCAGTAGTTTAAGCGACAAAAAATCATGGATGGATGGATAACTTAAGCCAAAAACACTCACAAAAAATTTGAGGGAATAGCTGTATTAATTACATAAACTATTTAATATAAAATAGCTGGTAATACCCAGATATGTTTTCACTACCTTTCCCATTATCATAATTCCAGTTAAGCGATTGACTACCCGCATGCATTCAGACATCCAGTGAGAAAATAAAATGATTATATTTATTCTCTGTGTAGACATCTTAATTTGATATTATATATACTCCACAGTCAACAAAATTTCGCGCTCGTCTGGAGGCCTGATAAGAATTACTTAAAAATGCACATCTTTTGACGCTTTCCACGGCTGATATGAAACTCAATACCTATAATACATGAATTTGTTTTATTGTACTGATGAACGACTTATATGCATGCATTTATATTTATTATTTATTTGATTCAGGAGAAATATCACTTAGAAATTCTCAAGCAGACGGAAATGCTGATAAACAATGTAAATCTGACTTCAAAAGAAATAATGAAAAGTCAGACCAACAGACAGAACTCTATAAAAGCTAGCAGTACAGTGAATCCAGTACTGGATGAAAAGATCAAAAAATATATCGACGATATGAGCAAGGATGACCTAAAGAAGGCAATAAATTCGGACATAGAATTAATTGATAATAATTAACTCATGAAAGAAATCAGTTTTAATTATTATCCTTATTATCCCTAATAATTATTATGTTATTTATTATTATTATTAATATTATGATTAAAACTCATTTATTTCAGTTCATTAATGTAAATTTTGCGTTCACCATTTCTAGGTTTTGCTTTCATCTTAATCAAAATTAAAGTCTATTTATTAGAATGCAAATGTATTTTTGTATTAAATAATAATGTATTATTATACTATACCGTTACCGATAGATACTAGTTTTTATAGGACCCTGGCAAGCAAATAGCTTTTTTGATACACATTTTCACACGGCTGGTGTCCGAAAGAACGGTTATAGCGAACGGAACCTGTTAGACACAAATGTGTAAAAACCCCGTTCCCCAAGAGGTTGTGATCTTTGTTCATCCAGTCTTAGATTTATACGGCGTTTGATTGATTATTTGCATTGAAAAAGAATCAAAAATTAATTAGGAACTGTGGTAACTTTTTTCATTATATCAAAGGCCCAATTTATTTATAAATTAAATTAAAGAAGCAAAAAATGTGTTTTTTATACGGGATTGTGTATTTCAAAATTAACTGAAACCTGTTTTGTCTAAAAAGTCGTAATATGTATATTATACTATAATTACATTTATTTTTTCTTTTTCTTCCTATCCATAGCGTTAAGTTCGCTTTGTTGACTGGCTGCCTCGGCCAAAATTTTGTTGACTTTGTCCCGTCTCTCCTTATCGCTAAGAACAAAAAATATAAACTTACTTTCTGGATCAATTATCTAAAGAAAAATTGCAAACATTGAAAAAGAAAGTCGACTAACCTTTGAATCTTTTGCTTAAGCTTAATTCCCGCCAGGAAGTCTTTGTCGCGTCGAATTTCCCGAAGCGCACCTTTTGTTTCCTTCTTGAGTTTGTGAATAAGCTTATCACGATCTGACTTTTCTCTTGATTGTACCTTTCTTCGCTTTCCTTCATATCTGAAGAGAAATATAAAGTTAATATTATGAAGAAGCACATGCATTTTAAACAATGCTTAACTTAGAGAATCAATCTACTTACACTTGCACTATTTTAGGCTCATACAGTCTCAAAGCTTTCGGTTTTTTCGCTTCTATAACTAAATAGGGCATTTTGTGCTCAGCTTTCAATTCAGCGAAGCTATTACAGAGCTTTTGATAAACATCCTTGACTTGTTCAGGATACAAATCCATCGGAATTTGACGAACAAACTTTTCAGGCTCCGTGAACATTTCAATGCTACTAGGCAAGTTCTTTAACTGATCTATAAAATCGTTCAATATTTTCAAACTTAAAAAAAGTGTGGAAACTTTGAACTCGTCATTAATTTCTAGCTGAACTAAATTCGAAACCTTGTGTTTTTCACTTAGTTTTTCCCCTGAAAACTTTCGACATAAAACTAAGTGTGAAGAGATGGATTTGAATGGAGGCAAAATTTTAATCAGTTTCACACCAGTCTTTGGAATTGCCATATGCAAAATTCCGCATATATAATTTATAACAGCAGGCAGGAATCGTTTGGAAAGTGCAGTGTACTAAAAAACAAAATAAACAATATTTACTTAATTATCAAACTAAAACAGTGAAATAAAAACGAAACACCTTAAAGCAAGTAGTTTCCATATTCTATTTTTTTATCATAATCTTATTTGACAAGAATTTCTGGATGCGTTCACTCTATTTTAAAAGCCAATATAGAGGTATTGGCTAATCAATTACATTATGTATGTTTCAGTTTTTTAAAATGGGCAAGGTTTTAGAATGAAAGTATTAAATAAGTGGATGTTCTGTTAAACGTTCAAAACCAAATTTTACTTTTCCGTGCCAATGACTCTTTGTCAAACAGGTTTTACATTTTCAGACAAGGTTGATTTGCATATTATCTTCCATGTTAATTGGAAAACTTTAGCTGCTTAAAAGCTTAAAAATGCTGAGTTTTTCTGCTTTTCTACCGTACAACATCTTGAAACCGAATTAAAACTTCGAAGAATAAGCGTTCCTTCAAAACCGACTTATTTTGGCTATCAAGAAATCGGTTAAAAGGAATGGTGTTGCACTGCAATAACACGCAAAGCATGATTTAAAACAAAAGTAAAGATCAGGATATTTGCTTTTAAATACCGGAACAACTGGAGAACTGTAAACTAACAACCAAAAAATCTTTATTCCGATTTCATCCGGCATCCGGTTCTATTGTCGTTTATATTAACGTCAACTAATCTCCACCCGTTTATAAACATATAAATATGTTTCTATGCAAATAACGAAACAATAAACAATTTTTCTTTAATAAACACATTATTTTATCATTATTCGCCTGAATCATACAGTTTGAAACGTGAAATAGATATCTAGTTAATAATTAGTTCCGCCAAGTTTCTTAACAAATGGACCGCTTTAAAAAACTGAAATCTGGAAAGTTTTTGTAAATTTGTATGACATTATATGTCCAAAGTTTCAGGCGTAACTCTTTATTTGACAAATAATCTAACATTATCTAATTCATTTAAATAGTTGTGAGAATACATACCTCTAACACTAAAGTGCAAACGAACAATCCATATGATATATCCCGAGCTGTTTTAACTCTACAGCACTTTAAGATTTGTTCCATGAAAATGAAACAAGGAGTAACAATTTGATGCCTAAAATCTGATGTTGAAAATAGTAGACTGACCAACTTGAAGAATATCAATAGTTCTAATCCTGGATATCTTTTATTTTTCTTTCTATATTCTTCATGTTTTTCCTTGATCACTTCCAATATCGAATTATGTGTGCTTTCCTTATTTAATTGTGCCAAAGCGAAAATATGTTCAGTCATGGCAGTTAAAATAGTAAAACTTTTGCTTAAGTTCTCAGAGTCTTCTACATTTCCAAACAAATCATTTATGTATTGCAATACGTACACAAACAGATGACCTAAGCCATCCTTATTTCCTTGTGATAAGCTGGGGTGATTGCATTTGATCATTCTTTCTAAGATGATTTTTTGATGCACTGCTGATTGATTTTTAAATGTTTCTAAAAAGTTTTCATAAGAATCTGGTAGTTTATACGTGAACGGTAACTCATTGCCCGCTTTCTCTAGTTCCTTCTTTTCGTTTTCAGAAACCAGTTGCACAATATTGCGACCCTTTTCAATTTCTATCTGCTGCTTTTTTCGTGATTTAGTGGGTTCCGCAATATCGTCTAACTTTCGTTTTTGGCCTGATTCGATGGTTTGTAATTTATTTTGTGAACAAGTCAGTTCCTTAACATTGTCTGCCTCTGATTCACTTTCATCACTACCGTCCTGAGCTTTCAAATCTGCCAGAGAATCATCTGACTCAGAACCTGCTTCTTCTTCATCTGAACTTTCTTCTTCTGCACTATTTGAATTAGCATCTTCCTGTAGATAAAGAATTAATGAGAAAATTATATGAAATGTGATTTTTCGTGAAACGCCATAATAATTAGAAAAGTTGTAAAGTTGCATTGCTGGAAAGTTGTTTTTCCAAATATAAAATAAGTATTACATTTCATGAATTAAAATATTTTGTTATTCTTCGGTTAAAAAGTATTAACATCTTTGCCATTGTTTCAGGCAAAACAAAAATACAGTAGTTTCCAAAAACATTTATTATTTTTATTCAATCAAATCAAACGTGCTACTGAAAGAAAATCTTTATGGCTATCAGGCCCAAAGCCCGACCCGAATGTGTAAGCTTACAGTTTTCATTCTCAATGCGATAAATTATACTTACATTGTTACTATCGGGACAAACACCATCACTATCACCTATTACATTGCCATTTAGCTCTGCATGAACCTGTATGTTAGCTTGGCCTTGGTCATCGTAAGTCAACATATTGTCTTCTATATCAGATTCATATAAAAAATCATCATCTAGATCATCAGCGCTCCTATGGTCGACCTAGAATATATTTGGTAGCTATAATGTCTCATAATTGGTGGCATTCCTTTTGAAAAGGTAAAAATGTCAGTTTATCTTTGCTTTTACGCCATATTTATAGTAGTTCAATTACCAGTTGTCATACTATTAGATATCCATAAAAAAACACATTGCAAAACTTGGACCGAAAACGAGGACCGCCAAGAGTGCCAAGACACTGATGATGAGAAGCGGAAGTGAGGGATACGTACTAAGCAATAAGATTGATAATCAGTGGTCAAGATTTGTGATGTTATGTTTCTAACTTCTTATAGCTTTATCCAAAATTTGCTGCTTACTTTTTCCAAAGATTTTTTTAAATTTAATAAAAGAAATTTTATTTTTCTAATAAATATGAATAACAGTTTATGTTTTAATTTGGTTATTCTTTCATTTCGTTTTGTACATTAAATCACAAGTAGATTTGATTAAAAATAAGTGTAAGCCACAAAAACGTGGAAGTACACAGTATCGTTCCTGAGAATTCACCGATCACTAACCAATATTTCAAAAGTGCATCAAGTATAAATTCATTATCGATACTCAACATTCGACAAGTCTTCTACACAATAGAAAGTGTCCCACCGGGAACCACCGAGATCGATATCTGGCAAACCGTAATTAGGAGAATTTAAAAATTGGACAGTGTGACGAGGTCATTGGGGGCAAGATGTTATAACATATCTTCAAGGTGGCCACACTTCCGGTTATACCGGAAGTAGGTATCAACTTGCTACATATTATATACACCCTATATATTATTACGTTTTTCAATTCTACTCCAAATTCTAAATAGATATTATATATATACTTATTTCATGTATAATACCATATACCTAAGTCGAGCCGATTTTGCACCAGTTGCAGCCACTCGAACAGTTATTCATTTTTTCCATAAGGGAACATGTGATACTTTTGAATTTGAGGGATTTGAGTCGCATTTCTTGCTGAAAAAATCTTACTTGATATTTTTGTCTTATTCAGTATTAAAAATAAAGGTAAGTTTGTGTAGGGTTGTCTATGGCAAAAGTGTTCAGGTTTCGAAATTTTGTCAATTTAATGTTTTCATATGGCTATTTTGCCGCTTAAATTATACAAACGAAGATTATTTAAACGTATTTATTATTTATGGAGAACGAATTTCGCATTTGATTGTATTAAAAATTGCCACTTTAGTCATGGAAAGAAGCATTTAAAGACAGCATTTAAAATGAGATGAGGGCAAAATAGCCATATGAAAACATTAAATTTACAATTTTTCGACAACTGAATACTTTTGGAATGACAACTTTACAAAACTTACCCTTATTTTTGAATAAGATAATTAATGAAGAAGATAAATTTATCAAAAATGGGGATGTCCATTTAAAAATTTGATTTTTTTAACACTTTGTATTAATAGTTATCAAAATGTTGACGAAATTCCATTAAAGTAAGTCCTTTTCAATAAGAAATGCGACTCAAATTAAGTAGTACATATTCCCTTATAGGAAAGATGAATAACTATTCAAAATTTGAAATATATCAAATTTGTGTTCCATTTAAAATAAGCTAGTTGATGCCTTCTTCCGGCCACCCTGTATACATCATTAATCAACAATTAAATTTAAAACACAGTCAAGAAAAACCAAAGATTTTTCGTGATTTCTACAGTTTAAAGATTTGTAGTATTGTTGTTGTAAACGGTCTAAATTAAGCCATTAAGAATTCTTAAATACTAAAAAAACTGCTGTGAGGTGAGTATATGAAGAGAAGTTGGGGTAAAAAATCAGAGTAGCATTGAAAAACAGGTATACATACAGCATACAAACTCAAGCATTTTTTAGAGAAAAACGCCTTTACGATTTTATCTCAAGTGACTAGAATGATGAACTCATAGTTCTAATTGTAAAATTATTTCGTTCCTTTTGTTACTTTTTCCTTGTATTAAATAAATGTAATTTTAACTAAATTCAAACAAAGGTTACCGAGACCAAATACTTACTTAATGGCTAATGTTCAAAAACAGTTTTTTATAAGCATTTAAGTACGTACCTTTTGTAAGGAAGAATCAGAAAACCCATTCATTCTTTCTAATCTTTCTTGTTCTAATTTGTCCAGTTTCTCTTTTTCTTCTTTTGCAAGTTCTTCTTCAGTTTTCAATCTGTCTGATACGGTTCCTCTAGCTTCAAATCTCAGCTCGCGGACCAATTTATCATAATCTTGCAATTTCGGTTTTTCTTCGGCCTTTTCCACATCTGTTTTGGGCTTCTTACTTACCAGCTGTACCAAATCTTTCCATTCAGTGTCTAATTTTTCAGTTAGCTCCACGGTTGCTTCCTTTATTTTCTGCTTTTCAGCCTTCCGTTTCTTTGATTCTTCTATCAACTGGTCAATCAGTTCTTTATGGGTTTTGGCACCGTCTTTGCCTGTATTAGTTAGCATTCCACCACCAAAGTGAGCTTCTTCAACAAATTTTGAATCCAGTTTACCGGTTCTGTTTTCATTCTCGCTCTCTTCATCATCAGAACGCGGATCATCAAATCGTTCCACTTCGCTTAGCGTTTGGCCTTTGTGGGTTAAAACCTCATCATCAGCTAAATTAAAAATACTTTTCCTATTGTGTGCCTTAGCTCTAATTGCTGCGAATCGAGCCATGAATTTTTCTTCTTGAGGCAAATGAGACTTTTCCCCAATTCGCTTGTCCACGAATTTATTGGACTTGTTCTGAACCATATATTCATTTAGGATCGTGTGTTTTCTCTTTTGAATAGCCTTAGCTTTTGAAATACCCGGTAGGCCTTTCTCGTTCTTCGATTTCTTACCCAAAACACGCATTTTCTCTTTATTTATATGCACTTCAAATGGATTTAAAACTTTTTTCGCTGCGATTTGCTGTTGTCTTCTTTTTTGTATCTGATCCACATTAGTACGTTTTTTATTTTTCACTTTAGCCATTTTTATCTCTGAAAATCAGGAAATTTACAAAACACCTTTCCTATAAAACTCACGTTAATATTTTAGGTTACTTTCTGCGCTCTATTATTGCTTCTCGTGTAAATTTCACTTCCGCCGCCATCATCGCCATCTTCGATTGTTTGCTAAACTTCTTCAAACGTGTATAAGCTTAAAGCATTTTTTTAGAGATTTGAAGATTTAAAAAACTTACTAATATTTTTTCTCTATAATAGCGAAGAAATTTGTGTCCATTACCATTCAAGCAAATCTATAACTTTCTTAAAACTCACAAAACGGGCTACGTTTGGCAGCTAAACTGAAGAAGAAGAAGAAGAAGTATTTTATATTAATTTATGCTTTGATTTAAGAAATGTAAAATTTTATGAATTAGTCCATGGTTTTGAAGTTTAAACACAAACAGATCTATGAAACAGATTGATTGTATATTCACGTATAAATAAAAATTACATAATATACGAGTGTTTAATTAGTTCAAATTGTGACAATTCCTATTTAACTGGACACGAAACTAGAAATATTGTCTTCTAAAGAGAGTGGTGCGGGTTTAGTGGTAATATGCATTATCTTTACACCGTTTTATTTTTAGTTTTTGCAGTCTGTTTTCATTGTTCAGCAAACACTATCGTCAAACGTAAGTATTGATTACAATATTTCACTCACTTTCATTGGAAAGTTATTTAGTTATTTACAAGTGAATAGAACTGTTAAGAAACTTGACAAATGCTAATTTTCCTTGATATATTCAAAGCAAGAATGCTCTTAAATGAAATAGTTTAAGCAGAAATTTTGGAGGATTATCCATTAACTTTTGCGAAAAATCACAGAATGTTCAAAATTGACACACACGGAAATGGCCTACCGTAAAAACTTTGTTGATGAGTAAAGTTTATAGGTACTTACCCAAAAAATCGCGATCTGCTCATCAAATTCTCTTAGTTTGTTTTAGAATTGAAGCTTTTAACAACTTTTCGGAAGCTGTTCTACAACAAACGGTCATTTTCTAGTTCATTAAGTCCTCGCGTCCAAAGTTAACAATATTCTCAGCTTATAGATGATCTATCTACTAACTACGTTTCTTATTGATATTTCTGGTGAAAATGCGGTATTCTACCACTTTTGTCACTACTTTTCCAGACTCACTATTTTCCATAACAGACTTAACATAACTTTTACGATATTTTGGCTCTCTTCTGCATTTGAATCATCTGTAGTAAGTATTCCCTTCTGACCCTCAATTTCCTTCCTTGACTTCGGAATTTCCAAAGGACTCACCTATCTCAGGGAGATGGTGGTTATAGACGCCTTCAGCAGTGACCATTTGCACATTTACCTTGATATTAGGGATTTGAAGCACACGCAAACTAACGACTTTCAATATTCATATGAATATTTCGATTTTCGCAAGTACCGCGAGAATAGAGCTCTCTAGTCTTAAATAACTTCTTAAAGTAAATCACCCGAATTTTGATAATAACTCTTAGAAAGGAACCGTACTAATTTATTTATTTAATTATCTCATATAAATCGTGTATTTTTGACAAGTTTTGTTTAATCTGTATTTAAAAGATTATGATTCACTCCTCATCAACTCTCGTCTATCGTAAATAAATAGAGGTTCCAATACTATTTTTCTGGTTTCAGAGGAAAATGTTATTGTCAATGCTAGCAGTATTCCGAACACATCTGTTACGCAGATAGATGGAACTAGTAAGTATCTATATTTTGTTGATTCAGTTTCTTAATTTTCATGGTTGATGACCTTCCAACCATGTTTTAAGTTTGTTTGGTATTTGTAACTAAAGTTACGGTGACTCACCCAACTAGAACCGAACGTTACAATTACGGGAAAGTGTCGTATCAATGTAATAATATGTAATAAAGTCGATTTATTTACCAATTCTTATTGGTAGAATGAAACCAGCCAAAGCTTGATTTTCTCCTGTGGAAGTGCTGTCCGTTTTGTACAGCCGAACCTCAAGCTGTGGTGTTATTATTTTAGTTCACATTTTTATATAACTTATTAATCCTATGATACACTTTTCAAATATTTAAAGCTTATTCACATGATGACATTAAAGCTCATTCACACCGTGATATTAATGTTGTGACATCTTTGGTGACAATTGACAATAATTGCCACTATGTGAACGAGCTTTTAATGTCGTAACATTTAGATGTTACGACATTAGTGTCGTGACGTGAATGCCGCAACAATGTCATTGTCAGAACAGCTGAATGTCACATATCAAAACTGTTTGATATACGACACGGTGACATTGGGGGCTGTCACGTCATTAGATGTCACCGTGTGAACGAGCATTTACGCTCTCGCATCGACACCAGTTCTTGTCTAACTTCTGTAAGTTTCTGTAATATCTGTCTCTGTAATAAGTATGTAATTTAATTTTCTGCCTCTGTAATAAGTGTTCTGTTTGTACTGTAAAATTTATGGAAAATTTACTTTCTGAATTGCAAAAATTAACTTAACTTCTAACAATATTATGTTTGTTGTAGTTGGAGAATCGACAACAGTTCGTCCGTTGATTACAGCTTCTCCCGGCATAGTCTCTTCCACACTTGCTTCTGCATCAAACATTACAGTAACTCCAACAATTAATTCGACTGCAGTTCCAGCATCAACAACAACTACATCAAAGCCACTTACTTCTTCAAAAGGAACGACTCCAGGAAGTACACCAGCTTCAACTACTACTAAACCTACTCTAGCTCCTAATTCTTCTATCGTCACCACTTCAGCTCCACATCACGAGAGAAAGTTTGATGGGCCCAGCTTTGTTGGTGGTATGTATTTTTGACAACGCAGTTTGGCTTTATTGAAGATTTTTCCTGTATTGTGTTCGTTTTAAAACACATTTAACATTTAGGGTGTACCACCGGGAACCGATTTAATTTATATTTGGCAAAATATTATTCGCGCATTGAGTAAAATTGGGCAGTATTCAAATCTCTGGGGGCGAGAGATCTAAACTATTTTCAAGATCGACACGCTTGCGGTTATGCGAGATGTAGGTATCAAGTTGCTAATTTTAAATGAAACCCCTTGTGTATTTTTTTAATTAAAAAAAATCTTCTATTTCCAGTTTACTCTAAATACAGGTTGTCCCAGTTTTGAGGTAACAGTTTCATATTTTGATGCATAAGCACGAAAAGCTTTAAGTTTGATGACAGTATACATATTACTCATCAAAAATTACGATGTTGCCCATTAATGGTTTCCTAATAAAATAATGATCATCTATCAGACTGTGAAGGCCTTCACGGCCGGTCCAATCACATTTAGAAATATTTTTTGGGCTTTGAAGGCGTGGTCCATGGGAATTTCTTCCTGACGTTTCGTCCACAACAGCGGTGGACATTATCAAAGGCGATGAGGCAATGGGCAAAGTGATTTCCCGTGAATTCTGACTAAGACTGGTTCTACTATGTGACATGATGTTTACCGCAGACATAGCCAATTAAGGCTTTTTGTCTTTAATGGTAGCCTGCAAGAGCCTTGGTGGGTTTAGGGCGGGGCTT